CAGGGGCTGCCTTGGTATGGGAAGGGGGTTGGGCTGGCAGCGATCCTGACTCTATGGTGTCTGATGTAAGAAAAGAAGTGTGGATTTATGCAGTGTCTCGATCTGCTGCAGCAAGAGCAGATTGAAATGCAGCCGTGGTTGGAAATCTGCTCTCCAGATTCTCGGTTTGGGGTGGGAGGCCCGGCAGCCGCAGGCAGGGCTCGCTGGCGTTGCTGAGGCAGGAGTGCTCTCTAGCGTGGCACAGGGAAATCACTGCTCTGCGCAGGGCTGCTCCTGCTGCCTCCCAGCTCAGGATTGAACACGGGCTGTTGTTTGTCTTGGGTTAGGTCCAGCGCTGCCAGTGCCTGTCCCATTACAGTGCTCTGGGCAGTCCGTCCTTTATTTTCTCCCGTGGTTCTGTTTTACCTCGGATCAGAACCAGAGGCGAGCTCCTTGTCTCTCTAGAGAGCCTCAATCAGCGCAGTGAAACCTCATTGTGTCACAGAATGAAGCCAACAGGAGGAGCACACAGCTGTCAGGACAGGAGGAAGCCCTCTGGCAAGTGGGATCATTTGGAGGGGGCACAGTGGGGATTTCTGGCAGAGCACTTTCGAGCACTTGTCTCTTACCTTCATCGCCGTGCTCGCCTTTATCCCCATCCTGGCCGTCCTTGCCGTCCTTGCCTGGGAAGCCCATCCTGCCCACGGTGCCCGGGGTCCCTGGCACGCCGGGGGGCCCRGGGGGCCCTGGGGGCCCTGGCAGGCTGCAGGCCAGCTGGGCACCCTCCTGCAGCTCCCGCTTGGCAAAGCCCCCCACGATGTGGTTTGCCACACAGGGCACAGTCCAGAGGAGCAGCACAGCAGAGATCATGGCACAGCCTGTGGGAAGGAGAAGGGATGTGGGAGCAGAACGTGGGCACCGCTGGCATGGGCTGGTGTAAAAACTCACATCAAAATGGGGGATAATGTGGCTTTTCACGGCAGGGTGGGGGAGCTGTTTGCTTTGGTGTGAGGCAAATCCAAGGATTYGGCTCATGGAGTTTTCTAGGTCAGACARTATTTTCTTCAAACTTACTCTTCTYTTAGTCTGTGTCTGTGGCCATCCCTCATTTTGTTTTGCTCCCTGGGCCTTTCTTCCCCCAAACATCAGCAGCAATGGCAGCGGGGTGCAGAAAGCAGCTGCTGGGGACCAGGGGAAGGGGAAGGCAGGGGTTTGGTGTGAGTGTCCCCACACAACCTGCCCATYGCTGGGTCACTGGGGTTCCTTCAARGCACAAAACCCATCACGTGAGGCAGGMCAGGACTCGGGCTGGGCAGGCTTTGGGAAAGGCCTTTTGCCTGTCAATATGAGCTGAGCTGAGCTCATAGCAACAGCCCCTTCCCCACTGTAGCTCAGCTCCAGCAACTGCTACGTGCAACTCCTGCACTGGAAATAAGATGCTAAAGCAATGGCTAAATCCCATGTTGGCTTTAGCTGTCATCCTGCTCTCAGCTCCTGAGGGGTGGAAATGCATATTTAGATGCTCCAAATCCAGCCAGCTGATCCTACATATTTATGCTCAGTGGGAGCCCCCAGTTCTGTGATATTATAATTAAGAACATRCAGAGGAGAGGGAAATGCAAACCAGATCCAGGGCTGGATTTGGCTACTCAGCCCTTTGGTTCTTCAGCTCTGATTTGCTGCTGCTGAAAGGCAKTGGTTTAATGGACTYGTGAGATGGAAAAACCACTCAGTGYTCATGTGGAAAGTTGAATGAAAGCTTCTGAGTTCATGGAAAGGGAAACAAAATGTTCTAATGCCTGTGGAGTRGGAGATCACAGGGAAAGCTGCATCCCTGCTTCCCTGGAACCCCTCCAATGGGGCAGAGAAAAGTCAGAGGCATCTGGAGGTGGATGACACTCACAAACTGGCAGGGGGAAATGTCATTGCAGAGCATAACCTGGAAAAAAGCTGGGAATRCCTCATGTGGAGAAGAAATGTGTGGGAGGGAGCAGAGGGTGGGAGRGGAGCTCCTCCTCTGAAAGTTTCATACCGTAATCACTTCTGTTACCTTGAGACAACCCAGCTCCTCGGCCTGATGGGATAAAAAGTGCCAAACAAAATCCCCCGAGACTGGGAGGTCGGTGAACCAGTCCTTGGATAAATGGGGAATATCCAGGTCCCTGGAGACGAGCTCTGGCACAGCTCCCGAGGTGGTGTTAATTAACAGCTCCACAAGAACACTCCATMCCATATCCCAGCAATGTGTGTGGGATGCAAAGCACCAGCACATCCACAAGGGGATCTATAAATAACCTCTTCAAGGAATCTTTTTGAAAGAGAACAAACCTCATGCTGTTCCACCTTAAAAGGAAAATTGTTCCTCAATGTAGAAGGTCCGATGAGCTCCAAAAAGCAAATTGGAAGCAGATCAGGATCTCCCCTCTCCATGGTGTGGGYGGCCAGCCTGGCACAGGAGGCTGTGCAGCAGCAGRGCTGATTTTCCAASGACATTTTAAGCAATGGCTTTGTCACCAGGGTTAGAGACCCTTGGGCCAAAACTGATGCCTGCTGTGCATTAAAAGAGGTGTTTCTGTGAGAAAAGAATCTGCATGTAAGAGTCAGGATCAGCTGTACTTTCTGCTGCTTCCAGGGCGTCTGGGCTGAAATCCCAGAGGAAAATCCCTGAGGGTTGCCAGAAGCAGGGTTTGGTGGCTCGTTCCATAGCTGGATGGGGATTTTTTGGCCAGTGAAGCCACCCTGTGCCATGTGGAAATAGGAGGCTCTGGGGGAATTGCTGCTTGGAAGCAGGCAGGAGCAGGATGAGGGGACCCAGCAGTGAATGAACTCTATTTCCTTTTAGTTTTTCAGGCTTTCTCAAGCAAAGGATCCATCTTGCTGCCTCACAATTTCCCAGAGTACCTCAAGATGTCTCAATTAATCTTCAAAATAATCMTTATCCCCATGAGCCTAATTTTCAGCTCTGGAGGTTGCCCTGCAGCATCCCTGGGGTGGAAGCAAAAGGAGCCCTCGGGTGTGCAAGGCTGATTTGGGTAAAATCAGGTGTGACAGCAGTGACAGACAGCAGCTGAAATGGGTGGATTTAACKGATACGAGCCAGTACTTACAGCAACAGGAGTGTGATCTGGAGTTGATAAACCCTACTGCTACACAAAGCAATGGCAAAGGAGGGAAAGCAGAGGATGCACCTTCTGTCCCAAAACTGCAGCTCTCTCTTGGCTTTAGGCACCGGGAATTCCTGTGCCAAACCTTTCTTAGCCTCGAGCTAAACCCCATTCCGACAGCTGCCCAGTGCCGGGACAGGCTGAACGCGGTGGGTGCTCCCAGCAAAGGCTGAGTGAGGAATGTTTCCCTCATGGTGTTGTTTCTTTAACTGGCAACTGTTGCCTTTATGGATTCCTGTGCAGCCTTTGGAAACCTGACTGCWCACTGACTTAGACCTTATTTGGGAAGTTTTCAAAATTAAGGCTGAGAGGAGGGAGAGGCAGAGAAAGGAAAAGTGGATCTACTCACCAGCCTAATCTCCTCAGTGAGATCCTGACAGGCGCTGGCAGCCCTCAGGGCTTCARGCAGATGTTTTGCTGCAGATCCTCCACTCTGTCCTGCCACAGGTCCTGAGAGGGCTGTGCGGGACTGATTTTGGTCCTTTTTATTCCTGTTTTACTCCTTTTTGTGTGTAGTTTGAGCTCCCTGCAGCAGCTCCACTTTGGCTCCACGTTGCCAAAGGCATATTTTTATTATTGTGTAATGGATCTGCGCCTCTTCCTCGGTCACGTGGCAYGGGAAGAGATTTTTACACACATGTGGCTGGAAAGCTCTTGATGCTTGGGGAGCTTTTCCCTTTCTCCTCTGCCTTGCAGTCCTGGAGGAAATGCTGAAGGGTTGCCTGGATCATTTCTGATTAATGCTGCTCCTCTCTGCTGTAGCTGCTGCTCACACAAGCAGGGRATGGGTAACACTGATCCAGCTGGGGAACAACTCTGACACTTTATCCTGGAGCATTAAAGGGAAGAAAATCTTGTCCTAGGGGTRGAAATTCACTTCTAATCACTCCAGGCTTGAATTAAAGGACAAAGTCACGAAGCAGTAGCTCTGTAAATGCAAATTTGTACCTCAGAACTGCTTCAGGTTGATGCGCATGACAAAATACAACTTTGTCATAGGGACGGCAGGGCAGCAATGCTTCTGCCTTGGGAAAGGGTTGGGGTTTTGTTTTAAGCTTGCAAAGTAATTACAACTCCTCAGCAATTGCTTCAGGTAAGGCAGGAGCAGCAGGASCAGCAGCTGAAGCAGGATGCTCTGGGATGCTGCCAGGGTTGGTATCGACCAGACTCATCTTTGGTTGTGGGTTCCTGCTCTGGCCCCACCAGGATCCTGCACAGAGCATGGGACAGGCGTGTGTCTTCTGGCAGAGCTCCAAATCCTGCCCTGCAGCTCTGCAGCCAATAAATCCTTCCTGCTCAGTGCAMAACATCAGCTGATTGGGAGAACGCKGGAATTGTCATTCCTTACTSTGCCCAAATTCATCCTTCTCAGAGCTGTTGTGGTTTATTTTTAAGCTTTCCCCAGTGCTTGCTTTTGGCACTTGGTGGGAACGGATATAACATAAAAAAGAAGTCTGTGCACAGTTGGCTTTGGGAGCTGGGGCCATTTTCGATGCTCCTGGGAGGACTGGGAACATTTGGCTGAGGAAGCACAGGGCTGTTTTTGTGCAGTGCTCACAGCCCCACAGAGCTCCTGCAGGGCCAGAAGCCCGGCCCAGTCCCTGACACTGAACAACCTCCAGGAGAACAACCCCCCTGCCCAGCCCCATGCAATCATCAGCTTTACATATCCCTGGGAAAAGGTTGCTTTACAAAAGCTGCAGAGCTCTGGCTGCCCAGCCCCACTCCCCTCTGGCACTGGGGTGAGCACAGCTGGGACAGAACCAGACACGGCTCCCAGGGCTGCTCTTCCCTGGGGAACCTCTGGACATCAGACAGATAGGAATTCTCACTGTTTGCTCATTTCCACAAAGTTCACAGGAACCCAGTTCTCGTGCTGGGCCTCTCCTGCCTGGATGTGGGCCAAAAAACTCGAGGCATTGCATGTGAAATAGGAAACCAGGTGAAAACTTGCCGTGGGCTTGGCTGCAGCACCAGTTGGATTGGCCTGGGAAGCCACAGTGGTTTCCTCACACACTGATGGTGTGGAAAAGGAAAAGCTCCTCTGCTTCTCCTGCTCCCAGCCCCTGGCAGCTGTGCTTTGGGATGGGTGTGACACAGGCCAGTGATGAGGATGCCTGGACACACAGCTAYCCTGCCAGGCAGCCTCAGGCATGAGCAGGAAGTTCACAGTTCAGGGTGATTTTGTGCCCAGATCTGCAGCCCAGTGAAGGCAGTGAGAGCCTGACCTAGACCAGCAGAAGGTGGAGAAACTGATGGGAATCTCCTGCCAGGCAAATGGAAAATCTGTCAGTGCTGTACAGGCAGGCCCAGCTGCACCGGGGTCCCAGACAGCTCTGCTGAGAACACTTGGCAGCACAATTTGTTAAATAAACAAACTGCCCTGCACAGAGAATCAGAGCAGCCTGAGACTCATGCTCAGTGTTTTTTGTGTCAGTGAGAGATTGCAGGGAACGTTACAGCAGATCTTGTCCCCTCTGTGCTGCTCTTTAGCAGAAGCCTCCATGCTGTGATTCCTGTGGTGTCCCCAGGGTGTGGGGAAGGGGGGCTGGCTCAGGGACAGGCATGGGCTGGGGGAGCTGTCCCTGCTCAGGATGCTCTGCCTGGAGTGGGAGCAGAACAGGTCAAAAAACATCCTGCTTGAAAATGTAGAAGGGGGGCCACACTGCTTTTGGGGTGAATAAYGCTGAAACCAGCCTGACTTGTYCATCCCAAAGTTAAAYGCCCTGAGAGGGAGCTGATGATGTGGCAGATGATAAAGGGCCTGGTAAAGGCATGAACAAGTGATGCCACAGACACCTTATCCAAAGCTGCTGATCTGGCACAGTRGGCCCAGACACCTCTGACTGACAGCCCAGGCCCACTCTGTAACAGAGGGTCCTCAAAAAAAACCCCTCCTGTATTATACTAGTAGTTCTAGCTACCTGTACTAGGTAGCAAATTTTAATTGTTTAAGGTATTTTTAGTCTTATCACTAGCATGATAAATCATTTATTCCTRTCTAAATATATCTGGTTTGCCATCMTTAATCCTGCAGGACAAAGTCACCTAAAAGTTCAATCACCCTTTGCTGTTGCAGTGCACGTGCTGTGGGGAAGAACTGGGAGTGCCTACATGTGGGTGACCATCAGCTCCCAGCCCTGGACCGGGCTGTGTCCAGCCTGGAAGGATTTTCCCTTGTTTACCTTCTAAGCACCAGCTGCTTTCATTGTTAGGTGCTGACCKTGCAGCCATGACTCTGTAACCAAATAAAATGTTTCAGCAAATGCCAGAAGAGCTGAGATTCATCTGAAGCTGGAGGCAGCCTGAAATCCAGCAATAACAATGGCAGTGTGCCTCTCACCAAAGATGAGTGTCAGTGCTCTGGGGTTTTGGGTAGACACTAATGGGAGGGAAGAAGCATTTTTCCACCCAACAGGCCTCCAGTCGTAGTGTGTGATGGTGATTTGAGTAATTTTTATTGCCCTGCCTGAAAGCAGTTTGAAAGTCTGTAAGCAGTCTACAGAGAGTGATTGTCCCTCTCCAAAAGCCCCCATAAAAATGAGTCAAAACCCTGTTTAAACTTGAAGGATGCCCTTGAGACCATTAGCTCTGCTTAGGAGCCGCAGCCCTGACCCATTAAGATAAAAATAAATAGAGCCTGTTTTAGGAAGACGGAAGTGGGAACCAGCCCAATCACCARTGAGCCACTGCCAGCACTGAGCAGATGCTGTGTAAAGGTTGGGTTTTTTTCTTTTTGCTCCATTTTTTTCTTTTTGGTACCTTCTAATTCAAAGCAAGTTCAACAATCTTTTTGATTTGCCAGCATTGGCCCCTGCCTCAGTATCAAGTAACGTAGTTAGACAATAAAGGATTCCTGAAAATAYCTTGTATTTCCCAGATTACAAGAAAACTCAAGCCCCCTAGCTCTGGAGCCTGTAGCACCAGACTTGCACCTTAGCCATATCGAATAATAATGTAAAATTAACAAGACATCAGCAAAATGAGAAATAATTTCCCTACTCCTACCTTAAAGTCACATCTGAACCTCATGGCAGAGATGCTGCAAGAAGRACCAGAATTCTTATTTTATTTAAGAGCAATAAAAACATTTCTGAAAAATAACTCACAGCTGGTGTACAGCAGGTTATTTCAAACCTCACCTCAGGCAGMAAACAGGGCAGGAAACAGTAGCAGGTTCTTCATTTTTCAAGTTTTGATTCTTCAGGGCTTTCTTTGCTCTCYAGCTTGTAAACAAGAGATTGTCAGGCAGGAAAATACACCAGGGAAGCTGAAAGAGAGAGTAACAAGCTTGGCAAACTTAGCTTTCCACTGCAGCACATCAAGGCAAGAGGGAGAACATCCAATAYAAATCCGAAATAAAGCTACGTGTAAGATTCTCCCAAAGCAGCAGGTCACTACCTCCAACCTTTTTCCTTAAAAAAACCCACAAGTTTATACCCAGCGAGCACCGGGGGATGGGTCATTCAGCTCAGAGCTGGTGGAAACGATTCCACCAGAACATGGARAGAGGCCAAAGGCTAAGAGCAGTAATATGTAGCTTCATACATTCCTGCAAATAAACCAGGATTAATTAGACCAGGCAACATTTACGCCTCCCCAGCTCCCTCTGCGGGCTGGCACTCACTCCCACTCTGTAATTTCCCATGTGAAAAAGGTTAATTCAGAATTAGGATCTCGTTTAAAATAAACTTTCAGGGCCAAGAATCAGCCCAACTGCAATGAACCTGTGGTTTCACGGGCCAGCTGCAGATCCTTCTCTTTGCTTTCTAATCAGAAGAAACCTCCCTCACATGCCACAGCCACAACCTATATAAAGGGCACTCGTGGTTTTCCTTGAATATTTGAGGGGAGGTGCTTTTTCTTTCTGCCCACAGCTATGGAGAGCCCTTGGGGAATTTGTGTGTGTTTGTACTGCTGCCTACTCTGGCTCTCTGCGGGCACGCAGCGCTCCCCCAGCTCCAGGGGCCGGGGGAGCTCTGAGAAGGCCCCGGGGTTTTCTGCAGCTCCTGAGGACGCTGCCAGCGAGCTCAGCGCGGTTCTGCAGCTGCCCAAAGGTGGRGCACCAGGCCTTGCCCTCCTGCCCCCCGTGCTCAAGGTGCTGTCCAGCCGCAGCCCCCGGGGCTGGCACAGCGAAGCACCGCGGCTGCGGCCCGACTCCAGGGCCCTTCGGTACATGAAGAGGCTGTACAGGATGTCTGCCACCAGGGAGGGCATCCCCAAGGCGCACCGAGGCCGCCTCTAYAACACGGTCCGGCTCTTCACTCCGTGCTGGGAATGCGAGCCCCGCCGCGGGGGCCTGGGGAAAGGTAGGTGTGYGGTGCCTGGGGTGCAAAGGTTACACGCGGTTTCTGTGCGTTCTGGGCTGGCAGCAGGAGATAAAAATACTTCCATTCTTTAGAGCTGTTGCTATTTCAGTCCTGGAGGCTCTTCTYCTAAACCGTAGGAGTTTTTCATAACCTACTTCTCCTTGAATGGCACTAGGCACAGACTTCACAGGCTGGGGAACACCACACAAGTGGTATGTACAAGATATGCTGATGTTTTAGGCTGACTCATCTCCTCATGAGTCAGAAAAAGCCACAAGCAGATCTAAGTAAAGCAAGAAAAATGGAAAAAATGTTGAGGCATAACGGGCAGCACATTTCCTTCCTGACTTGGTTATGCTTTTTTTCAAAAAGCCACAGCACTGGTATGAGACTTCTATAAAACTGCGAGAACCCACTGCCAAAGATTCCTCTCCTTGTCTGGTACATTTGCTAGATAAGAATCATGACCAAAACCTGAAGAGTAGAATTACTGGCAAATCAGGCTCAGGACTCAAACTGGGATGGCTGGGCACTCTGTAACCTATGGTGCTTTCATGCTTTTCTTAAACATGGGCTGGTCACAACAGCAGCACCTAGAAACCCTCGGCTGTTCATCCTCCTTAAGTGACTGCTGAGAGGTGACCCGAGTTCTCCTGACTCGGATTTTTCACTAGAAAGACAGATAAACACAGAAAGATAAACATAAGCTTTATACTGCCGCACAGGAACAGCACTTTGAGGTGGAGTTAATGGTTTGTATCATGTGGAGTGTTCAGTTCCTGTTTCCCCTGCACCAGCACTACAGAGACAACAGCCAACTTACTCCTGTGCTGGTTTTTTTAAATGAAATTAATCCTAATAGCTCTTAAAATCAGGGGTTTTCTTGAGTTTAAATTTCTTCATTTTTARCTTTTATGTCCCTGATGAAAGTAGAAATTTCATGTAATAAATGCAAGGGAGGGCATCTAAATWGTTTTCTTCTGCTGCTGAGTAATTTTTTACTTATCCAATTCAACAGTGTTTATGTCTAGGTAGAAAAATAAGATGCACTAACACTTACAGGAATCTGTTTCCCTTCCCAGGAGATGTTCACTCGGTGGATTTACTCTTCAACTTGGATCACGTTACTGCTCTGGAGCACTTAATCAAGTCTGTCTTGCTCTACTCCTTTGACACATCTGTCCCCATTTCCTCTTCCATTACCTGCATATGCCATTTATCCCTTAAGGAACATGATTTTTCCAACCAAGTTTGCCCCAGCATTTCCCACTCTCTGACTTCTAGTCTGCACTTAAATGTTAGGAAACGCAAATGGGTGGAGATGGATGTGACTTCTTTCCTCCAGCCTCTTATTGCTATGAACAGGAGGAACGTCCATATGGCTCTGAACTTCACTTGTCTGAGGGGTGGCCCACAAGGGAGCACAAAACTGGAGAACGCTGTTAATGTGACACTGGTTCCCCCTTTCCTTCTGTTGTATCTGAATGACACCAGTGAGCAAGCTTATCACCGGGGAAACTCACTCRGGGATGGGAGGCAGAGCCCAGCACGGGCCAAGCAAAGGAGCAGCCGGCTTGTGGATCCTACAAAAGGTGATAGAGGACAAGGCAATTCCCAGGGTAAAAGGGCCTCTCGCCAGCGAAGGAATGAGAATCTGAAAGCACCAGCCACTTCACCTCATAATTTGAGTGAGCATTTGAGGCAGTTTGTGTTCCCTCAGCACGAGTGCAGGCTGCACAATTTCCGGCTGAGCTTCAGCCAGCTGCGCTGGGACCGTTGGATCATCGCCCCGCACAGGTACAGCCCTCAGTTCTGCCAGGGGGACTGTCCCCGTGCCCTGGGCCACCGCTACGGCTCCCCTGTGCACACCATGGTGCAGACCCTCATCTACGAGCGCCTGGACCCCTTGGTGCCCAGGCCCTCGTGTGTGCCAGCCGAGTACAGCCCGCTCAGCGTGCTGACCATCGAGCCCGACGGCTCCATCGCCTACAAGGAGTAYGAGGACATGATCGCCACCAAGTGCACCTGCCGCTAATGGGACTGTGCTTTGCTGCACCTTGGCATGGGTTTGCATTCCCAAATCTGTGCTCTCAAATACAGGTTTTATTTTTGCACTCTCAAGATCTGTAGCTACAATTGACTGAGCAGYGTTGCTGTAACTCCAGGAGCTGGGATGTAGCACGGAGTTAGTAGAAGGGGTTCACATCAGTGATTTTTTGTATGTACACTTAAATGTAAATAGTGTCTTTTTGTTGGGAGAATTTTGCATTTAAAATGGGGAAAGGTTTAAACTACTAAACTTGTCTATTTTAAGTTGCTTTATTACAGATTAAAAAATAAATAAATGGCTATCTGTGATACCCTGATATGCAGTGCCTGCTACTCTGCCTCTATAGAAACCTTGTGTGTGCCATCTCCAGCAAAGACCAGGAAAAGAAGAAAGTCTTTAATGCTAGAATTATCTCCTCAGTTGTTCATTCTCTTTCCCKACCACATTCCAGCTTTTCCAAGCAGGACGACACAACCCTTCCTCACAGTTCTGTAAAGAGTTAGCAGGTTGTTTCTTGCTTTCTTTCTGTTGCACTCTTTGGGCTTTCTCACCTAAAAGGAGAGGTAAGCATTTAAGAGCAGCTGTGGGTAGTTTGTGAACACTTAATTTAAGGCACTGGCACCAGGTGAGGCTGCATTTGGTTCAAGAACAAGGAGCAGCTGTCRATGGGGTGAGGGCACAGGATTGTCYAGTGGAGCCACAMTGCCAYTGGCTTCTGAACTCTGGAAAATGTTAAAAAATATTAATCCCCCAAAATGGCTTCTAAAAGCCTTAAATAAACGTATGTAAATACTGTTTAATATTTTGAAATGTGGGGCCACAGCCTTGTTTCCTCTCACAATGAAACTGCAGGTAACAAGTGCCTCAATTCTAGATGTTTTCACACCAAATTTTTACTGTGGTTGCCTTACTATGGTTTATTTTTTCTTCCTAGACTTGGGGTTCACATACAAAACCTCTCAGCTTTAGTGGGGATTTTTCTTCTTTGTTATTTGTTTGTTTATTGAAGGCTGTGGAGCAGCACTGTCTTGTAAAACTTGYTCAGAACAGCCTTTAACATTAACTTGCTAATGGATTAATAAAGAAATGCTGTAACTTTCTACACACCCAACCAGCCCCTACCTTAGATCCTGAGCAATTTCAGAGGGCTGGGAATTCAGCCTGGCAGGGCAGGGACTGCTCCTGAGTTATTCTGTGATGYCACTTGGATGGTTCACTGAACCCACTGATGTTGGGGTGGGTCTGGAGAGCTCCTGGAGGTGCAGTGGGCATAAATCTGCCTGAAAAGTGAGGATCCTGCTCCAGGTTTTAGTCTCAACTGCTGACATCCAAATGTGGTTGGACACCAAAAGCTCGAAACAGTATTTTGGTGTCATTTTAAACCATCCTGGTCCCAGCACTGTGGGTGGTTGGGTGAATTCTGGTTGTGTCACTCCTGCTCATCCCTTCAAACTCTGGGAATTTGGCTTCACTGACCTGCCAGAGAGAAAAATAAGTGGAATTCTTTCCCGACACAAATCCTAATTATGTGAAATGTCTAATGTAGTCCAACAATCCTGGTACAGTCTAATATTCCATTAATGGGGATTATGTTTAATATATTCTAATATTCAATAATAATGACTAGTATAATAAGTCAAATAAAGTTGAACGTAATATATTCTAATAATAATTCCAACAATATTGAAGATGTCTAACATATTCTAACTATTCTAATATTAGTTCAAATAATGGCAAATATTTCTAATATAATGATCCCAGTAAAATTGGAGATGTCTAATAATTCTAATAGCATTATCCAATAATGTTGAATATATCTAATATTCTAACCATTCTAAGCTATTCTAATAATAATTCCAATAATGTGGAAGATGGTTAATACAGTATTGTAATTCTAATAATTATCCAGTATGTGGAAGTTAATATATTATTATAATTCGAATGTCTTCTAATAATTGCAATAATGCTGAAGATCTCTAATATACTCTAATAATAATTTTAATAAGTTTAGATGTCGAATATATTCTAGAATTGGAATGATATGGAATATGTCTAATATACTCTACTGACTATAATACATTCTATTAATGATTCCAGTAATGTTAAAGATGTCTAATAATAATTTCAATTATGTGGAAGATGTCTCATATGTTCTAATAATTCTAATATTATTTACGATTCTCATTGCGGG